TTTTTTTTTTTTTTTGAGACAGGGTCTCCCTCTGTAGCCCAGGTTGGAGTGCAGTGGCACCATCACGGCCCACTGCAGCCTTGACCTCCAGGCCTCAAGCGAGCCTCTTACTTCAGCCTCCTAAGTAGCTGGGATTACTGGTGTCCACCACAATGCTTGGATACTTTTTGTAAAGACAGGGGTCCCACTATGTTGCCCAGGCTGGTCTTGAACTCCTAGGCTTAAGTGATATACCCACCTTGGCTTCCCAAAGTGCTGGGGTGACAGGCATGAGCCACTCGACTTTTTTTTTGAGACAGAGTCTCACTTTGTCACCCAGGCTGGAGTGCAGTGGTGCAATCTTGGCTCACTGCAACCTCTGCCTCCTGGGTTCAAGCAATTCTCCTCTCTCAGCCTGCTGAGTAGCCGGGATTACTGGCGTGCACCACCATGCCCAGCTTATTTTTTGTATTTTAGTAGAGACGGTGTTTCACCATGTTGGTCAGGCTGGTCTCGAACTCCTGACCTTGTGATCCGTCCCACTTGGCCTCCCAAAGTGCTGGGATTACAGACGTGAGCCACCACGCCCAGCCCCTAAAGACTTTTTAAAGCAAAAATTATGTAAAGTGAGTCACTTTGTACTGATCACGCTCTCTGAGGTGAACACCCTCTCTTTCAAAGTAGTGTGGTCACAATTATTGGAGAAGCAACTGACAGACTAGATGTCAAACAAATGAACATAGGAACAGGGAAGAATAGCTCCTGGTTTCACAATGTTTGAGGACAAATTCCCCGATGAGTAACTTAAAGGGTTGCTGGATCCCTTCATGGCACGGATGTGTGAAAGTCTTGGTCATTTACACTACACCCCACTTCTGCTCCTTTATACCCAGATGGTAGAAGACGCACTCACCTGCTGTTGGGCTGGGAAACGAGGGTGCCATTCTGTTCAGCCGAGGTCTCTGCTGGTTTGGATTTGAAGTAATTGACAAGTCCCCCAAACACACTCTTAATGCTATTGATGTGTTTCTGGCTGATCTTCAAATCTTGGTCCATCTTGTCCACCATCTTCTCTGTGTGCTCCAGGACTCCTCGCTGACGGGCAAGCTCCTGGAGAAACCGAGAGGCAGTGGCATTATAGCTTTCTGTGACCTCTCCCCCAGGGCAGTCAAGGAATACATGTGGCAGCCACTTCATAAACTCTCAGTGGGCACATCTGGAGGTGGGTGCTCTCGTCTGTGAGGGGACACGACCCTTTCCAACAACAAGTTCCTTTGCCTCTCCCTCCCTGCCCTACCTCAGCTTGCTTTCCTCATTTGTTCGTGACACTCTTTCCCTGAGAGGTTGGCTCATGGCACCATGTTAAGATGGATGGCAGAAGCTGGGTGTGGTGGCTTACATCTGTAATTCCAGCACTTTGGGAGGCCGAGGCGGGCATATAACAAGGTCAGGAGTTCAAGACCAGCCTGGCCAACATGGTGAAACCCTGTCTCTACTAAAAATACAAAAATTATCCGGGCATGGTGGTAGGTTCCTGTAGTCCCAGCTACTCAGGAGGCTGAGGCAGGATAATCGCTTCAACCTGAGAGGCGAAGGTTGCAATGAGCCGAGATCACACCATTGCACTCCAGCCTGGGCAACTGAGCAAGACTCCGTCTCAGAAGCAAAACAAAACAAAACAAAACATGGATGGCAGTGTACCTGTGAGGCTCAGAGTCCAGGGCCTGAACTGGAACCAGACTCTCTCTAGCCCCTAAACTCTGGGAACCCTCATAGGCTTGGGCCTGGCACTGACCCCTGGACTCTGGTTCTTATATTCTTCCTTTAGAAAGTTCCCACTTTAGGAGTTTCCACTGGGCCACCTGAACCTCCTGGCCACGGTCAAATCCTCAAATTCGATTTCAGGGACCAGCGTCCTCTCTGGGCCCTATTAGTATCTGACTCCAGCCCACCCACAGTTCCAGCTTTAAAATCTGTTATCATGTGTGACCCTGTCCCAAGGCCTTTGCATGCACCACTGTCTCTGCCTGTAATGCTTTCTATCCAGATACATGTATAGCTCAGCCTCTCATCCCTCATCCAACTAGGGTCTCCACTCAAAGGCCACTCTCTCAAAGAAGCCTTCCCAGACATCTTCTCTAAAGGAGAACTCCTTCCAACCACCACTTCTCCTCTCCACCTCCTTTTCCGTTGTTTTTTTTTGTTTTTTTTTTTTTTTTTTTTTGTTTTTGAGATGGATGCTTGCTCTGTCGCCCAGGCTCAGAGGTTGTCACTGCAACCTCCACATCCTGTGTTCAAGAGATTCTCCTACCTCAGTCTCCTAAGTAGCTGGGATTCCAGGAGCCTGCTACCACACCCAGCTAGTTTTTTATATTTTTAGTAGAGATTTGGTTTCACCATGTTGGCCAGGCTAGTCTCGAACCCCTGACCTCAGGCAATCCACCTGCCTCAGCCTCCCAAAGTGCTGAGATTCCAGATGTGAGCCACTGCGCCCAGCCTCTCTTTTCTTTATGGCATATGAGCTCCATGAGGCAGGGGCTTGCTCTGTTCACTGCTGAGTCTCTGCAAATCTGCCCAATGGAGACGTAAGTGATGCTCTGTGGCCACAGTGACAACTGATGGTCCCTCCAGAGCTGATGGTGCTGGTTGTGAAAATACACTCACCACAACATCAACACTACCACTTTCCTTTATTCATGACAAACTTGCTTCAGTCCCTAGTTCAGGAGTGATCTATAGCTGCGGCCCATCTGTGAGCTGCCTTTCCAGCCAGAAAGCTCTCAAGCTGCATTTTCCTGCTCTCCCCTCAGCTGCCTTCCTCTGAATCTGCTATCCGTGCATCACCCCGTGGCTTAGTAATTACACTAACTATGCAATTGTTTTTTAGAGATATTCTCTCTTGATGCCTAAAAACAAAGTCAAAACAATTTTAAAGATACATCCTGGAAATCCGAAGAGCAAAATGCAACTATAAATAAACGGTCGTGGCTTCCTTAGAGTCCTTAAGGAATCAATGTGTAACCCGAGTCCTTTGTTTAGTGGGTGAAATTTAAAAACATAACATATAGGCAAAAAGCTAAAACACGGGTTGAATTTATTATTAAACTTTAACTTTTGCTGGAAATAAACTTAGAACTGCCAAATTTTACAGTTTCCAACATTTATGTTTTTTACCAGTTCACAAGACATAACTAAACAAACCATCAGGCTTTTTTAAGCAAAAAGTAAAACGTTTTCTGGACTGTGTCACTCAATATGTCAAGCAAATCTTGCAAGGGCGTTTTCAAAAGAAAAAAGAGCTGCTAATGTTTCTGGAGTTTCTGCTTCTTCCATCACCTCAAGTTTATCATCTTCATGTCCATGCTGTGGTCTTTTCTGGTAAGGCAGAGCTATATACATTAGGATTAAAGGGATTTTCTTCAGCCATCTATGTATTTTTCTGACAGTCCAGTTCCAGCTTGCTTTGCAGGCTGCAGAAAATGGAAGAATCTGTAGCTGGAAAGACATTCAGAGCAACCAAGCTGGGGACTGGGGGCTGAAGGCATGGCCAAGGCTCTGTAGCAGTCACATTAGGAGGGGGTCATCGGTTTCCCTGATGGTGAATTCCTCCCATCAGGACCAACCCATGACCACTCACCCTCTCACCCTGACCTTCTCATCTCAATTTGGAGAGCTACCTTCCCCAGTTTGGACTTATTTTCTCCTATTCACAACTGACATGCTCTCTCAAACTCTCAGAGTCTGTGCTACTGTTAAGGAAACCAGACAGCTGATTCAGATGTTTAGCTAGAAGCTCAGAGAAGTATGTGAGGGTGGCTTGCCTTGCACATGAGGCTGAAAGGCCAGGGGAGTGCTGCTCTGGTCTCTGGAAGTTTCTGTTTGCTGGAAGCTAGTGTTCACTGGAGGTCATGAGGCCAGCAAGGGAGGAGCTGTTTCTTCTGCTAAAATCCACCCCCGGAAGGCAGAGGAAATGACCGGACTCAATGTGCTTGTGACCTAGTTCCAACCAATGAGGAAGAAGGGCTTGACAGAGCAAACACCAAAATACCAGGGAAGAGAACACTGACAGTCTGTAAGCACAAGCCAGGCAGGCGCTGGCGCCCCAGCTATCACCTAGACAGGCCTCAACTGCTCTGGGTCCTGAGGCATGCTCATACCTGCCCTCTGTGGAGGCATGGTGCATCTTCTCCATCTGCCTCTGGGAGAATGAAGTCCCTGAAGGGACTTGAGTGCTGTGAGGGGAGTGAGCTCCACAGGTGCCCTTGGCGTAAAGGACGCACATGGCAAGTGCTTCCTTGTTTCAGTGATTACTAAGCATTACAGGTGATGCCCTTCTTACTTCTTACTCCCCTTAGCCCCAACAAGAGTCCTCTAAAGTTAAACTGGAAAAAAAAGATGGTGAGAGAAAGGGTCTGGTTGGGCTGGTGGCACATGCCAAGAGATGAGAGAGAAAGGGAGTTTCTCAACTCTTTGGCTTGTGGCTTTTTGTCAAGTGCAGGGATCTCCAATAGAGCAGGGGGAAGCAGAAGACAGACAAAGACCCTGTGAGGGCATCTGCTGCCCGAAGTGAGGTCATGTCATGGGCACTGTGAGGGCCTGAAGGCGTCAGGGTTTCCTTGCTGGCAGAGTACTCCTTGAAAACACACACACACAGTGACAGGTGTTGCGAGATCTCTGCCCCCAGGTGCTGAACACCTGCTCTCTGCCAAGCACCCTTCCAGGTGCTAGGGATTCAAGGGTCCACAATCCTGATAGTGTTTACAGTCTGACAAGAAGGCAAGATGTGTGAGGTTCAAACTGAGTTTTTCATTTGTGGACAACATTGCAGTGCTGGGAGTTCAAGGAAGGCAGATGGGTCCTTGCTTCACTGAGCTTACAGTCTCGTGGAGGAGGCAGAAAATAAAGCTATCGCGCGCCATAGCTTAAGGTGGGGGTCAGGGAGGTTCCCTGCTGAGGCTGGAGAAGAGACTGAGAAGTCAGGCAGTCAAAAACTTGGGGGTCCTGTCCATTTGGAGGTAG